AACGAAACGGGAAGAAGACTAGACTATACATAAATCGCATAAAGAGTCAGTTTATGAAAACCAATGGTGCAATGTTGAACATATCAGACTAGATGGATATTTGATTACGGACACCTCCTCGTACGTGTATCTTGATTTACTGAATATGGAAAGCAACATGAAGGAGGAGCTTGATAGAAGAAGGAAAGCAGTTCGGGCCGCATTTGGGCCTCTCAAAGAAGCCACCGACCAAATAACGGACCCTAAATTACGCACCAACCTTTTTGAATCAACACTCCTCCCAGCACTCTGATATGCACCGGAAACGTGTGATACTTCGACCACGTCAAGACTACTGCGGACAACTCACAGAGCGCTTAACGATGTCTTCTGAGAATTAGTTGGCACCCACAACACCTAGCCGGCTTGCGCAGCTCAAATCTCAGAAATTTATCTCATCTTCGTGTTCCAGAAGAATTCACAGCGATAGCGAAGCATAGATGGGCCGGTCATATACTAAGAAGATCAGACGACAGGTGGACGAAGCGAGCTATAGAATGGGACCCCCTTGAAAATACACCCGTCCCTAAGGACGACCACCTACACGTTGGGCGGACGTATTCAATCAGCTGTATTCATATATATACTCTCATCAACTGTATTCGTACCTGGCGATATTCTGCAGACCACGTTATGAAACTCTCGTCAGTGGCCAAGCTTGAACGAAATGACAGCCATGGACGACAATCGCGAGAAGACGAAACGAATGAGAGATGTGCTGGGGTCCGCACAATTCGTGAAAGACGGACCGTCCTAGTATCTAAGTATCCAAATAAGTACGTCTCTCAATTAGTCGATAGCTTCTTTGAGGGGTTCTAATGCTGTGCTTGTCAACTTTTTTCGTTTGTTGAAATCTTCCTTTTATTGTTCTCCACGTCCTCCAAACGTCCAAGATAAATTGTCTTTTATAATTAAGATACCATCTCAATTCAATCACATTCACGCCAAGGATTTTCTGTGAACGGACTCTACGATTCATTTACGCTCTCTCCAAACCAAATTTTTCCGTTTTGTTGAGTACATTGACATCGTCGCTGCTACTCTGCTTATCTCACAGAAAAACTGAAGTCGTAAGCTCTTATCAATCAAATACTTTAAATAGACGCATTGTTGAAGAACGCGTTAAAGAGAGTATTTGTGAGCTTTCCACATCCATGCTATTGGCGTATTCCACTTATCGCAGCATGTGTGGAAGAACAATAGAAGTGGATGGAACTTTCCTCTTCTGTAGCCTACCAGTTTAAATCATACTGTTCTTTCTAATCAGATTCTTTCATTTCTAGATTGGTGTGATTGGACTACTTGGTAACGGTATTGCAATGGTGGTACTCATCAAAGGAGGGAAGATGGCGTTGCCGTTCCAGCAGCTGTGCTTTTCTCATTCTGTTGCTAATTTCTTAGAGCTTGCACTATACTTGTTTTACTGTACTCCAATGATTATTCTGTAAGTTATCTTTTAGTTTCGCTTTTCATAAACAATTTCGTGAGAATGATATTGCTTTTCAGCTGCTTCATTCATTCACTTACCTTGAAGATATCTGGGAAAGAACAATGTAATTTAGACGTCTAAATGAAGAGTAAATAAATTACAAGTCCCTCATAAAACATAATGAGATTCTCTTCTATCCATTTCTCTTAATAGGATTCGTTTTTGTAGTAACAGAAAGTGTTCGCTTTTCTTCTTGATAATCACAAAAATCACGTTAGAAATTTTTGTTAAAAGATCTAGAATCGCACTCCATTCAGACAGTCCCAATTTCTCAAGTACATCATCACATGCAAAATTGATTAATGGTTCAATGATAGCTCTTTGGGATGTGTGCATCTATTCGCATCTGATGTCTTCAATAAACAGGTCTGAATAATATATGTTGAATTTTGAAGACCAACTATTTGATGGAAATGTGCAAAAGTTATTTCGATTTCAAGTTGCGATTCGCTTCTCATAAATCGTGGCCACTTTTTCACTAAGTTGTTACTGAATTTAGCGCTGCTCAAAGCTGCACACATTTTGCTTTATAGGCTAAACACAGGGTTGCTATAATACAACTCATTTGGACGACTGAAGCTTTGGCGGCTTCGTTTCCTCCAGAGCCTTTAAAGATTAAGTTGACTACAACACACTCAAGACATTTACCTCCATTGGCTCATTGGATTCTAAATGTCAACCGGCACCAAGAGCATAGAAACTTTTTCACATTCTCACCGCTCATTATGGATCGTCCAAGTGGAACTAATCGTGCAAAATTCACCTGGACTCTAATTTACCTCTCACATCAAAATACAGTATTGTATACTGTTTTCATATCATATGTGACAAGAAGGCAAATCTTCTCTCGGTTGATGCTCGGATTTATCAAGTTTGCCAAGAATGCTATCTAGAACCTTGCACACTGATGATACATAATCTCGTACGAAGATGGTGACTTCTGCTTCAAAATCCTTTCAGTTGCTTGTCCATTGTACTAGCTTTGTAATCTGCTCGCCTTGTAGATCTTGCCAGCGGGTCTTTTTGACTCATTTTCGCTGTAGCAAACAGCCTCAAACTTGGGTAATCAAACGTTTGCAAGCGTTATCTAAACATAGCGACAAGAAATAACGATATAGATGAATGTATCCACAATTTAAACAAATGATATGCAGTCAAAATATAGTATTAAAACAATTATGTGACCCCTATGTGATGTGAGGAACAGGCCCTCAAATCTTATATGGAAAGATCAATGAGAGGCGAGTTTCCCAATTATTTATAAGCATTGATGAGAAGCAGGATTATGACATCATGTACATAGAATATGTTACGCGCCGCTGACTCCGCATATAGTTGTATTAATAGGACCTTAACTGGGCACTGCAATGGGTTACTTAAGAGATTACAATACTATAATGAATACAAGCACTTTGAAGAGTGACCTTATAGTAACCTTGGATGGTTGTACAACAATTCGGATAGGCGCGAGCGTGGTAGTAAGCTTAAATCTAATGCAGTGATTAGAAGTGGGTAGATATGGCAGTAGACTTATGCAGATTACTTACTAAGAGCGCTTAGCAAATTCTAGTTCAGTCTTATCGACGAATGTATGAGTAATTCAATAGATGAATTACTGTACATATATGAAGCTAGTTACCGATATATGAAGCTTTTACAAAGGGTGAATACAATGACAAGCAGTTAGTGTCTGATACAGCAGAATCAAGTGCAATCCTGATTAGATCTTTATTTCGAGTGCTTCGTTTAGACCACGCTCAAATTTTCAATAGATCCTTTCGTTATTATTTGAGCTAACTTGTCATGTGGTCTGGTAAGGGCTCTTGTACAGCCCGATACACGTGTTTCGTCCCTACAGACTCGTCAGCCAAACAGAACCCGTCGTCTTTCGATCTTTACATAGTCAATTCTCTCGGGAGCCTCTTACTCCTTATAGGAGAGTCATCGAAGACGAACACTTTACACTCTCATGTCAAGTGAAACCTTCACCCAACACAGAGTGTTGCGCACTCGATTGCTCTTTGGCTGGTACATTTGACATGGAGTGTGAAGCGTTCGTCTTCGATGACTCTCTATAAGGAGTGTGAGGCTCCCGAGAGAACTGACTATGAAAAATCGAAAGACGACGGGTTTTTGCTCGGCTGACGAGTTTGTGAGGACGAAACACGTGTATTGAGCTGTACAAGAGCCCTTTCCAGACCACATGAGAAGTTTGCTCAAGTAATAATGAAAGGATCTGTTGAAATTTGAGCGCGGTCTAAACGAAGCACTCAAAATAAAGATATAATTATGATAGAAGTACCAGCCAAAGAGCAATCGAGTGCGCAACACTCTGTGTTGGGTGAAGGTTTCACTTGACATGGAGTGACATGACTCATTTATGACCTTTTTCATTATCTATGACTAGAGTATCTATTATCTGGCGATAGCCCATGATTCTGCGTAAGAGAAAGAAAATAACAATTATTCAGACGAATATTTATTACAATAACTGATCAATTGTGAGCTTGCCAAGTAGTTGTTTATTATGCGGACACAGAGTGGATTATCCGCTTCTCCAATAAACTTGTAGCAATTGCAATTTACAACCGATTCGAGCGGACTGTACTGGTACTCATGCGATCGCCGCCTATACTGTTGGGGCAACTTATGCACTTTTGTATCACACAGACCGTCATATAATCGCTTGTGAACTAGCCACACTTTGAAGCCGCCACTCTTAGGGACTAACTTCTTCTTGCCTCCTGTACGCACAATGGATGCTGTTGGGAACATGTTTTCATATGGCCCTTTCTGTAGGTGTTGAATGAGAGCAGAAGTAATAAGTCAGTAAGGATTTCCTAATTGGCCTTAGATATCACGTATCAGTGCTCTGCTCGAATGATCTGCCCTGTAAAGTTTACAAATGAAAGCCAACTTCTATCTTGGTACATAGCACGGTTGAATTCACATATCCCGACTGTTCGTTTAACACTGGAAAACATCTGTTCATGTCCTTATAATTGACACAGATAACTAGGCAAACATCTTTATGCACATGGTAGAGTAATGGCTGGAGGTCATTTATACCAGGACTTCCACTTCAAACAGAGAGGCAATAGCTAGACTGAATGCGAACCATTTTTGCAATAACCACCCTCTGTCTCGAACAAAAGAGTTCTGGATGATTATATAGGCTGAGCACTTCACACACTCATTCAGAGGCGCCAGGATCGGCCGTATAGACAAGCCTTGCATGTTGTTAATTGTTTCTTAGTGAACACTAATGTGTCGGATGACTCAGCATCAAAAACCATCAGCGAGCTCTTTCGTCGTAAGTGCTTATATGATCGACTGATGTAGAGTGATGTGAAAACTTTCGCGTTCGCCTGCACTAGAACCCGCATCTTACTCTTTCAGGTAGCGGGTGCTCTTTCAGTTACACTACTGGCGCACATGCTCTACAACGTAGAGAGAGTAGTGTGCAAAATGGGCGTCAGTAGTGTAACGGGTAGAGCACGCGCTTCCGGGAAGGGTGAGGTGCGTGTTCTAGTCCCGGCTGACGCGAAAGTTGTGCACATCGCTTCACATCAAACGGTATATTTGAGACATCATATAGCCACTAGAAGAGGTTAAATTCATATGATGGTTTATATACAACGTAAGAGTGCATAATATGTTCTGCCGGTAAAGGCGGTGAGTACGTGTATAGTAAACCCAATCCCTCGTAAAGCGTATAGTGACAAGTACATTGGCGAAAGGGATAGGCCACTTTGTGTTTGCATAGAAAGCACCATCGGCAAGCTTGAAACTAAGCAAAATACGCCACCAGGCTCTAGGACACAGGCACTTAAAGGAAGGATTTCGAAATAGAAGTTGCCGTGTTCGTAGAAGAATGTGAAGCTCTAGCGCATAAGATTCTTGAAAAGTTTTGAATAAAATTTACCAATTCACACACAAGGTGCAAAGAAGGAAGCCTCGTTTTTACAAGTGATATTAAATACTATATGAGACTGTTATTTTTGATGCACGAAGTACATCAGCAATCCATATGAACTCTGCACAGTTGGTGTTCACTTGGTCACTTAGTGGAAGGCTCTTAAAAGCAGTGGGCATGTGGAAAAATTGCGTGATCATGAAGCGACTAAATCTAGGGCAGAGGTTTTCCTTAGACTATTAGTAGACGTCCAGCAGTGTGATGTTCAAAATTTTCAAAAATGTGTTCAATTTTCAATAAGGTTTTTTCACAGCGCTGTATCAGGGAAAAGAAAATATGGCTCATTTTGATTCGGAGGAAACAAACAAAGACCGATTCCATTCGTCGGAGAAACATTACATAGTGTTGAGAGTGTTAGTAACCATTCGGAAGCTGAAAATTCAGGCTGTGGTCTCACGTCCGCTAGTTTTTCAAATTACCCTTTTGTAACGCTGCAACATTCAAAATGAAACCATGCTTCATAAGCCACTTGTTTTTTCTCTTGCCTCGCTTATATTTCGCTGAATAAAGCTCCTTCTTTAAAATGCTAGTCTAGAATTGTAGCACGAGCTTCAAAAAACTTGAAGATGTGTTTGTTTAATAGAAAGCTCTTTTGACCTTTTGATTCGCTCCGGTCTTTTAATTTGTGCTTCATACCTCGCCAGACAATGTTCTTTCTTCAGACTGCTAGTAAATATCTAATAGCGTAATGTTTCTTGATTCTAGTGATGTGGTTATTTTCTGGAAATGTAATTCAGCAGAGAAAATAAGGTCGTGTTCTACATTTTTAGCAATCGCCTATTCGACAAGACGAAGGCCGTGGGGGGGGGGGGGGGCGAGTTGGCACGATCGATAAAATGATATTCAATTGGGAATTTTTTTCTTCGCTATGAAAAAAACTCCAGATAAGACGACTGGCCAAGATACTCCGAAAATTCCTCTACACATTGATATGCTTTTCGACTTCCAGCGTAATAAGTGCGGGATATAAATGAAGGCGAAATGCAAGTGTGAAACAAAATTTCTGATCTGAATGCTACAGCGCTACAACGTGGTGTTTCAAAAAACAGGCGACGTGTGGTTGCAGCGCAAATTCTCAGCTTTCTAGTGTTTACTATTGCTCCTGTGGAAATTTCACCTCCAGCAAATGAGATAAGGTTTTCGGTCATTCCCCTCCTTGCCACAAAGAACCGAAAATTGTGTTCCACAGGCGTTGCGCGTAATGGCGTTACTTTTCTTTATTTATTCGAAGTTTTGTTTTTCGTTTTGTGTAAATTTCTATGTTCTTTGTAATAATTGTAGAAGAAGCTCTGCTCTATTGTTTTGAGGACTTACGCTTCCCATCTTCACTATAATTTGGTGAATAAAATGCGGTAGCAAGCTGACGCCTTAGCAGCCAAAGCTCATGCACGAAAAGCATATGAACGTGTACTCGAAATCTTGCAGTATCACAGTCATATACTTTATCTAGAGTTTATAAGAAAGCAAAATAAGTTTAACAACAAAGATTTCATCACATGTGAAGGACGCGTACGCGGTCTATCGATCGCGTACTGATCCATAGCCACCCATATACCCTTGCCACAGGCAATCCACAGTGTATGTAGTTCATTTATGTTGGTTCTGCTTAATGTATATAGAAGAGTCTTTTCAGAAAACAAGCACAGTGTTGGAAACACCAAAATTTGTTCTGTGATTACTGAAAGTTTGAGGAAAAAAACTTTGTCTTCCAAAAAATACGCTTCTGTGGAACACAGTTTCATTTTTTTTGAACTCTCTGGAAACTGCCTTAACAAGAATCTTAAAATACATCTGAAATGATCGAGATCTACGTTATCCAATGACTATTGGTAGCTCAGTGTGAAACGTTAACCATCAAAGTATATGCGCACTGACGCGGGTCGCGGGCGAGACAAATTCCTTTAGTGCCGCAGCGCTCTAAGTAGGTTTTTATTTCAAAAACAAGTTTATTTATGGATTCGCAAAGATTTAAGCTCTTGAATGATTGCCAATAGTCACAGTAGAAAATTTTTGCCCAGCAAAAAGGTTTTTAATTGTTCAATACCTTCTCTGAAACCAAACTGTACTGAAGACAAATTTTTAACTATCACAGTCATAAATTTCTATTTCTGTCGAATAGAGCGATTTGGAAGCAGAGCGTAACTACCAGTTACGAACTCGAATCCTCGAAAAACGACTGATCGTTTCGATTTCCATTTTCTTTTCCGTGCAGTTGTCGAGAGAGCAAAGAGGCACTCGCTAATTGTGATTTTGTAGCTGTCAGCATCTCGCTAAACATTCCGGCTCCCTTCCTCATCAAAAAAAAAAAAAAAGAAATTGAAGTGCTTATCTGTGATGTGAAGTCCATGTGTCATTTTGATATTGCAGACTAATCGTTATTTCATGGCCACTCCAGAGCCGACATTTCTTGAACCAAAGGAATACTACCATTATGATTGCATTGGCTTGGTTGTTTGGCGCACTTCATTTTCTACCCTATACGAAAGGTGAACTATAGCTGATACTTTTTCAACTTACTGATTTGTTTATTAGAACAGAAACCGTGCACTCATTGTTAGCAGTATTAAAGTTGACAGAACTTTTTTTGTAAAAACTTTGTCATAGAGCTTTTGACGTGACAACCGTACAGATACTAAAATTTGGAATATTACATCATTAAAGGTGTGTTTACCTCTGAGATTTCAGTCGGTCATTAGAAAAAACAAAAAAAGCGCAGTGTTGTGCGAAAAACACGCTGATTTTTCATTCTGAGCTGGATGTGCGTTGATTAAAAATGATACTAATTCTCTGCGCGCAAGCATTTAACAACGGTCTTTGCTGCAAAAAGAATTTCTTGTTAAGATGTTATGTTTTTTGTGATCAGGAAGAAACAAATGAAAAATCGATCCTATTTGCTGAAAAGGAACTTTTCATAGGAGTGTCAGTAAGTGTTTAAAAGCTGAAACTTGAGGCTACAGCCCCACGTCACAGATTTTTCAGACACCTTTTCATAACGGTGTAGCATTCAAGATATAATCATGTTTCATAAAGCGCCGCGTTTTTTCTCTTATCTTGCTTGACAAAACTCCTTTCTCAGAGCGCTAGTACTCAAACTATAGTACAAGCTTTGAAGAGCTCATAAATGTGTTCACTTTTTTAAAAGGCTCTTTTGATCTCCTCTGGTCTTTTGATTTGTGCTTCAAAACCTCGCCGAACAGAGCTCCTTCTATAGGACTATTAGATCTTTTGAAGGCATGATAAAAATGAAGCCGAAAGGGGAGCGTGAAACACAATCTGGATGCTACAACGTTATAAAGCGGTGTTTTGAAAATCCGGCGATATTGGGCTGTAGTCTGTAGTCTCAACTTTCTAATGGTCACTGTGGTGGAGGTTCAGTGGTATTTGCTGTGTGGTCCCTGAATTTGTCTCAGGCAGTGACCCGATCGATATCTGAATATTGTTAGATTGTCCTACTGACTTGTGTGCACGAGTCGAACTTCCGGATTGCGGCGACTTTTGCCCTTTGATGTGGCTGGTTGCACTTCCAAGTTGTTACGGGCTGAACTTTAGTCTGTGTGACCGCGTCTTCTGCCAACATGCCTCTTGTAGCCGACAAGAGCACAAAGTTCAAATCCTTTATATGGGTTATACAAAACAACGTGGTGAAACTAAACAATGAAGTGGTACCACCAAACAACCTATAATTACATACAATACTGTAATAATATCATAAGAACAATATATATACGATTGCGACATTTCGTTATGTGAACATATGTCAGTGAATGTGATGTTTCGTCTTGAGACGATAATATGAATAAGTGAACGTAATTGATGAGATGTATCGTCGTGTGACGATACCATGAGTGTTGTTATTAACGGAGCAGGACTAGGCGGCGGAGCCCGTTTGGGATTGCTATGTTCGCCCCCAAGTAGAACACTCGGCGGCGGATCCAGTGGGTGAGTATATAGTGTTAGCAGTGGGGTCACTACTGATTATATATGGGCAGAATCCCTTAACCGCGGTGGTGAGCCGAGCATAGCCTAAGTGAGTTTGCTCCGCCACGTTAGTGATAAGTTCCGCTCACGATTCTATTGAGTTCATCTGACAGTTGTAAGAACTCAACCTTATCATAGCAATTAGTTACATGATAACGAGACTATGTGGAGAGAGCATAATGAGTTGGCAATAAAATGAGGTGAGGTGGTCCGGGTGAGGTAAGACGACCGTTCAGATGATGCCCGTCGATTGAACTGCCTGTTGAGGTTGGTGGCAGCTGGGTGCCGCCCTCGCCACTTGGACCATTTTCTGTCTAAGGTCCTCAAACCTCTGCGGTACCATTTGCTCTCTAAGGTCGTGGACCATCTGCGTTACCTAAAATTATCATGTAATTCCCGAAAAGATAGCAAAACTCCATTGGGAGGTTTGCTATAGTCACTAACACTCATACGAAAAGTTCCCCTCCAGCAAATGAGATCGCTTTTCATTTGGTCCCTCCTTATCAGAGAGAACCAGATATTACTATCAGAGGACAGCGAATATTATCAACAGCTGCCTTGTGTAAAAAAGGCATCGTCGACTGAGGGTGTT